GGTTATGGTTGCTATCTTTTGACTGCCCATTTGGAGAAAATAGCAGAATGAAGATTGGCACGTTGAGAGAAAATTTAAGCGAAAGATAGAGAATTATCATAGATTGATGGTACAAAAATAATGAATAGATGCATAAGCGCCACTGCTTACGAAACCCAGCCATATCGCGTTAGTGTTTCTAACCATCAGTGACTGTGATCTCGGGGTCCCCAGTCAGGGATTCTAACGGGACTTATGTGACCCAGTTAGGGTTTTCATACCCTCATGCCAGGTTTTAGTTTGACCGCCCTTGATCTTTTTCCAACCACTACCTGCCTCGGTAATCATCACTCACCGTGGCAACCTATCTGCAGGCATGCGCAAAACACATCTCTAACCAACGTAGTCAACTACTTTCTCCATCGAACGACCGCGACTATCTAAAACTCTGCGTCTAACCCTAGCATTGCTCGTCCAGTAACCCTTACGGCACATACTCGAACCTTCACAGACAATCGGATGACGCGACGGCGCCACAGATGTCTCAAGTTGACAAATGCCAACCGAGTCCTCTTTATGCGAGCTGACACTTCATCCGTGATGCATCCATCGGGTGAGATGTAGCTGCCCAGATAAAAAAACTTATCTACTCGCTCTATTACTTCTCCAGTTAGAATGAGGCTGGGTGCTGGACGGACCCAGTCTTGTAGTAGCATTTTACACTTTGAAGGTGCAAAACGCATACCGAACATGGCTACACTAAAAAAAATCCAAAAAAGCTTACAACGTGTCTGGATCTTCACTTAGCAGCACGATGTCGTCTACATACTCGAGATTAGACAGCTTGCCAACTGGGAGTGAATTAATGCCACCATCCTCGCACGAGAATAGCGCTCTTTCCATAATGAAATCTATAACAAAGTTAAACAGAAAGGAGGAAAGGGCGACCCTGACGAACACCACATTTCGAACGATATAGTGCCGTAAGCTTGGACTCTATTTCGGCTGAAAAGACTCCCAATTGCATGAGAGTGATCACACGATAAAAACAATTGACGGATCAATTATTCAGGAGAGGCAGGGGACAGCAAATGTTCAAATGAGAATTGATACATTGGAAATGGGATCTGATTGCACATTAGAAATTCCCATAAATCAGAAAATGTGCGTGTTGCTTGAAGAGAAACAGGAGAAGGGGGAAGGAAGGGAGACGTACCATGTTTTTTCGTAACCAGATTCCCAACGAAATTCTTTTTTCTCCCCGTTCCGGTCCATTCTCTGTGGGAAGAAAAATAAGAAAACCAAACGGAAATGATAGGACACAAATTGGTCACATGACGCGGGTTGGACAGATTCTGATTAAAATAGCTAGTACCACTTCCCGGTCGGAACATATTGTGCCCACAAATGAACCCGATCCAATCAACGGGAATAATATATAGCCCTAGCCTTGATTGTTGTTGTGGTAACCAAACGTCAATAAGAAGAATTGTTCAATTTATGTATTTTGAAGCCGTTTCCTGAATGTGATTAGGGTTGGCTATGGAGATAGCAAAAAAATAAAGCCTATGATCAACAGGACATATCATACGTGGGAGACAACCGGTATGCGTAATTCAGATGGATGAAACATGTCAGCATCGAACAGCATAGGAATAGAAGCAGGAGTAGGCAACAAAGAAGTGAATTATTGAAGCCCACAAAGGGCATACACGTTCGGATCGCGGAACGTAGTCATCGCAAACGTTTGACAGATTAACTCGTGCAAAAACGTATACATTGTGGACCGACTGTGAGTAAGACGTGGACTAAGCAACCCTTCCCAACCCGAAATGATGAGCACACGTGCGTGATCGGAAACGGCGGCAACAGATGTGACGTGCGGCCGGTGACAAAAGAACATAACCCGGTTATCAGACTGCGACGACGGGAAAATCCGTGGACCGTGGTCATACGCGCAATTCGAGAGTATTGTTTTATACCGAACCGTTCCGTAGGGCTAGACAAACAACTGATGAGAAAGGTGTTGGATGCAACGAATCGATTCCGTAGGACAAATGTACACTACTCTCGTCACTAACGGAAAGAAATGACTACTTGGAGTAAAATGGTGCCAATTTGTTACTCAACACTGGGAATGGTGAACAGTGGCATCAGTTATGAAACGTGAAACTAAAACACCTATCACACACATGTTGGAGTGATGATCGGCAGATAGGAAGAAATCTCACGATTAGAGTGACCTAACCGTTCGATTACGCGAAACGAAAACTTGCATGTCAAGTCAAGTTGGTGTTTGAACATTACTGTCTACGCAGCATTGCACAAATTTGGTGGGGTAACAGGACGAGCAATGATGAGGTTAGGCGTAGGGTTTCAGGTAATAGCAATCATCCACTGGAGCAAGTAGTCGACCCTCAAAGATTACGCTGGTTGGGGCATGGTACCAGATAGGTTGCCACGGCGAGCGATCTTTGCCGAGACAGGTAGCGACTGGAAAAAAGTCTAGGGCGGTCAAACTAAAATCTGGCATAAGGATATGAAAACCCTAACTAGGACACTGGGTCACATAGGTCCCGTTAGACCACAAGATCATGGTCACCGGTAGTGGGAGACACTGAACGATATGGCTGAGTGTCGCTCGTGCATCCGCTCAATATTCTCGTTACCCCAGACTACATGATTTCTCTATCTTCCGCTTGAATTTGTTCTCAACGTTCCATCTTCATTCTGCTCTTTTAATCAAATTGAAAGCCAGCAACCAAAACCGCGGCACGAAAGTACATGATAATGGTTGTAAAAACTGAACTGAACGGAACTTCTGTCTAGTTCAATACCATGCCTAACCTAGCGAAGCCATAGTAGTTCACCACTCCAAGTTCTGGGACTTAGGTTAGCGGTTTCTGTCACTTCGTGACGATGGAATTCACCTCTCTATTGTTCATCACACAAATGTGTGTAATAAAAAGCGAACATCCACAACTTCGTTCCCTCTCACATATTCCAAAAAGATTAATGCTGTTTGGCTTTTCCACCAAATGCGTGAGCAGAGACATTCTTCTTGTCAATAGTGATAACTGCTTCTCGGTCGAATATGAAAAAATACTCCTCGTAAACTTCTGCTGTGTGACTGATGGAATTTTTTCGAAATGTTACACAATTTTCCTAAGGAACCTGAGGGAAGGTTTCCCGACTCCCTTGGCATCTACTTGCATGATCAGGAAGGACTACCTAAACCTAGAACATTACCGTTCAAGGTTGCAGGGACAGTGACGAAGATAGATAGCTCAATCACGAACAAAATCGGGTGACCTCCTCAAGGTCTTGTAACAGTGGTACATTTTTATCAAGTGCATTACGCTATAGGATTGTGATGAACGCCGGTACTCACAAAACCTGCAAAGGAACCGATCTAGACTAACCGGAGTGAATGTATCGATTGGTTTCAGTTAGAGTTGGTAAAAGGAAAGGAAACGGACAAGCTTTAAAAGAGTCACGATGCATGTTTGGCTGTACCTAGGTACGGGGAAGGCAAACAACTTTAGTGCTTGTCGGTCAAATAAGCTCAACCGTAAGGGAACAGATTGTGCGAAAATACAAAGTCACGAAGACCGACCAGATGTAATAATTATTATATTTCACATTTCTCTGAGGACAGACTGTGTGCCAGGCAAATCATGGTAGGATAATCTTTATAAAAAAGAAAAACGTTCCATGATTGGCTTGTGAGCTGAATACTGCCACATTGCCCAAGGCCAAGGCAGGTGAATTTTCTTGAGGAATTCACAACCGGAGCCTTCGACTGACCAAAGCCTGATCCGCAAGGCAGCGGGGCGGTGTGTGAAAACCGCAATCCTTTGGGGGTTGTTCTCCAGTTCATCGGATCATACGCCCTTCGGACGGGGTTAAACATCCAAAGTGCCCAATACACAATGATGCCCAGTCGAGCCGCTAACTACTGCCACAATCGGAAAGGTGTGTATGGTTCGTACGCCTCCTCTTGATATGTTTGGAATCAGAGTTTTTGGCCAATTCCCCTAGGTGAACTGCCAGTGGTCCACCAACCCAGATGTCGGCTTTTCGTCCTCTCACTTTGGTGGGAAAACACCTCCGCCACGAGAATGCGGTGAGTAGGGCTTCCTCAGCAGAGGCTATTCGAGACGCGTGGTCGTATGGGAGCATTTAGCGAGGTGTAAGGGAAGGGTGACCAGCCGCAACCCTAAACACCCACCCCAGACCATACTGAGGCTTTTGAAGTTATAAGCTCGACAGAAGAAAGCCACGTAGGTTTGAACGAACCATTTTGCCAAAATGACTGCTGGGCTAGTTGGCTTGTCTGTCACACAAGCATTGGCATTGGCATTTAGGATAAAATGACGGTATGCTCAAATTCTAAGAGGTTGGGTTGAAAAATACAAGACCAAGAATGAACTGATCATTTCAAACGAAGATAGAGGAAATTGTAGTGTGTCCGGTTCGATCGGAGTATCCAATCAACTACAAGTGGGTTGGGAGGACAATCATGAGGATGATTATTAGTCCCTGCAAAAAACAAGATTTTTGGTTGGTGAAACGATAGCAAAGATGTGCTGGGGCACTTCGACTGGTTGCTTCTTCAGTTTATCCATTTTTTTATCACATCGATGCGAGCCAACACCATGATTTGATGGTCAGGACCAGGACAAGTGTGGAATAACACACACACAGAAACACACAGAGAGAGGGAAACACAAACACCAGTCTCTCAACACTGGCTGTTCTTATCTCTCAACCGAGGCATCGACTGATCACTGCAGCCACGAATGCGGGAGTTACGATGGGCCACATACAAAACGATCCACCGTACGATTTTTTCGTCCTATTGTTCAAATGTATTTATTTTTCAAAATAATATCAACGTGTCAAGTGCTTTGTAATCTCTAGCTTCCTCGTTTGTTGTGGTCTAGTCAAATGTTTGTCATTGGGTGCAATTTATTTCGTTAACTGACAGGTATCACAACGGGTGCGGCGGACGGAAATGACACGTAATTGGGCCCATGACGCATTAAAACAAAAAGAAACAAACGAAAGCGAGTGTAAGCCGTTATGTAAGAACGAATGATGTCGCTAATCAGTCCCAAGATGATTATGAGAAATCGCAATGTTAGGTTTCAGCATAATTATCCATGATACGCCCGTGAGAATTCAAGTGTTTTCTTGTTATGCTTCCTAGACGAAGAGGCTGCGCAGACTGTGTGAGGCCGTTACCTCAATGACAACTTCATTAAGGAACCACCGGACTGTTCGCCGAGACCTTAGACCAAAGTGAGGAACTTTGCACTTGAGACCCGGAAAGTGTGACTGTCGGTTTCTAAATCTAGACAGCAGAACCGGACCGATTTGGAGTTCACCAACTTTTGACTTATCTATCACGATAACTGGTGAAAAAAAGGAAACCGTTCCGTGCTTTTTCAGTTCTCCATTACTAGTCGAAAATGCACCGAGTTTATTTGTGTAAAGAAAGAGGACCGACAACTTTTATTTCATGAATGTATTATCAGTATGGTCGAGGGTGGGTGTTTAGGGTTGCGGCTGGTCACCCTTCCCTTACACCTCGCTAAATGCTCCCATACGACCACGCGTCTCGAATAGCCTCTGCTGAGGAAGCCCTACTCACCGCATTCTCGGATCTATAACCGGTTTGGTGGACCACTGGCAGTTCACCTAGGGGAATTGGCCAAAAACTCTGATTCCAAACATATCAAGAGGAGGCGTACGAACCATACACACCTTTCCGATTGTGGCAGTAGTTAGCGGCTCGACTGGGCATCATTGTGTATTGGGCACTTTGGATGTTTAACCCCGTCCGAAGGGCGTATGATCCGATGAACTGGAGAACAACCCCCAAAGGATTGCGGTTTTCACACACCGCCCCGCTGCCTTGCGGATCAGGCTTTGGTCAGTCGAAGGCTCCGGTTGTGAATTCCTCAAGAAAATTCACCTGCCTTGGCCTTGGGCAATGTGGCAGTATTCAGCTCACAAGCCAATCATGGAACGTTTTTCATTTTGACAAAAGATTATTGTACCACCATTTGCTTGCAACGCAATCTGGAGTCAGACGTGTGTGGAATATAATAATATATGAGTTTAAACTACAAATAATCTTGTATTTTCATGTACCGGTTTGTCTTTCAGCCATGCATTCAGTCGACCGAATGCTGGATAAAAACGAAAGAGCCAGAAAGCTGAGAGCAGTACCAAGGGTACAGGGGTTGAAACTAGAACTGGAGAACAAATGGGCGAACGTCACTGTTAACTATATACAGTCATATCATTGTCTGATCCCGAGGTGTCCAATCGGGATTCTAACGCAATTTACAGCCAATCACGGAGTGATTTCGTAGGTTGTTAAAATTGCTGTCATGATTTGTTTGGCACATTCTGGACTCAAACAAGTGTGAACTATATCAGGAATGATAATGCATATGACCGGGTTCCCTGTTCACGTTCCTCAACTCCCTATGCTAGGCACCCATGGCCTCCATTCTGTCACGCCAGGTATTGCAAGCAGAGGAAACTCAGTATTCCCTGCCCATCGTCTAGGACAACAAATAGACCGATTGGTCACCGTAAGCTAGAGCTCATTTATTGAAATTGAAAAACTGATTTCGAATCGCACAAGGAGAGGAGCACGAACTGGTACCTGAAAATACTGGTCGCGATTACCATCGACTTTATTGGATGCATTTAGCACCATGAGCGAGTGAACTAAGCCCCAAGGGCACATGATCCGAACGGATTCGAGAAACAATGGATATGAGGGATCACCAGGAGAAGACAGAGATGTTACATTATTCAAGCATTAGCCTTGGGTTATCTAAATGCATCATCACACGACAAATTGATTTCCAGCCGCACCGAGAGTTGCTTAGGCAAAATGAGTCAATGTTTGGTGTAACGAGTGGATGGAGTAAATGGTGGCTAACTCAGATGATGCAACCACAGCCAGACGATGCAGAAATTGAGTCTCATCAATTGGGAGGTATCTGATGACGTGAACCGATCGTTTAAAGTTAAATAAATGTACTCTCAATTTGTGGAGCGATGATGGTCACAACATGGCTCACTCCCAACTCACCCAGCCCGTTTGTGCACGTTAAGTGGTAAATGGATAACTATTCAAAACCTGAAACTCAACCAATCTTCATATCCATAGAACCCATGCATCAAACTTAACGCTTATTTCCACTGATCACCTGTTCGTTGGTTACCATCTTAATGCTTAATAGGTTGGCATAGACACAAACGTGAAAACCACATTTTACTGCGAAAAACATACACGAATAACTACATAATTAGGAAGCTGAGCAGTGCATTGGGTCAAGTAGGTCCGGTTAGGTTTAGAAAACTAATTCAACTCAAACTTAAATGCATTGCAGTTCGTGATTTGGAAGAAAACATTTTCCACCATTCTCCTTGCTGAATACTCCGCTCAATACATACAGACAATGGGAAAGTGGACTAGATGATAATCAGAAGCTTATAATTGGTGACAAAAGTGTGTTACTACGACTAAACAAACAGAACTGCAATCTCAATCACACATTACACGCGATAAAAAAAAATAAACCGCACCGCGAACTGCATTCACGCGACTAGGAGTCACTGATTAACGTGTTCCGAGAGTAACATATCGATGGTCTAGGAAGATCCGAACACTGTACAACACTGTCGATAGTAGATACCGATTCTACAACAACAACACTGGTACTCTCGTGTGAAACGAACGGGAAGTTGGGGGACTGAAAGCATCAAAGCAGTAACCAGCGTGGAGAAGAGCGAGGAGATCCAAATAGTGTATTTAACGTGTCAAAAAAAAAAACCATGACAATGGATTGAGTTGTTGAAACGATGATGAATGAAGTTCGAAAAGGCAGTTCGTGTGTGTGTGTGGCTGGCTGGCTGGCTGGCTGGCTGGAGGTGGGGTGGGGTGGGGTGAGGCGGGGGAGAGTGTGGGAACTACGTATGAGAGCAACATATGAATGGGGAAAATGCGGGAGCACAATAAGCAACAACAAACTGGCTGAACTGTGCAGTCCGCAGTATCTGCAGAGAACAGCAATAAATAAAACTAAAAGGCGATTGAGGTAAGTGAACAGTGTTGTCTATCGTGGACAGGTTGGATGGGGCAAGATGACAGGCAACCGGGGGGGAGGAGTAACAGGGTGATCGATTGGATTGGACACAAAGACACTTCAATTTTCATTTGAATACATCCGTGTCAAACAGTTGGATAAAGGGAACAAGAGCAATGAAAATGCACTAAAACTTTTGTCAAGTTTTGGAACCCGGAGGAGATGGAGGCAGACAGAAATTGATAAAATCCACAAAGATGTCTACGGGCAACCGTTAGCGTACAAAAATGCCGGGTACATGAGTGAGAGAAATGGTAGAGGGAACCCAGGTTGCGGAGGGGAGTGGGCGAGGATCATAAGAACGATGTTGTTGAGTTGTTCACACAAATAGATACACAGGGAAGAAGAGAAGGCGAGCAGAAATGGTGGATACGTGTTACTGTCGGAATGTGTCATTGTCATCCACGGACAAACTGGGATCAACTCTATGTGTGTATGTTTTTGTGTGCTCCCCGAGTGTTTAGAGAGCGACTGATAAACGATGGTGACCCAAAGAGGAGGCCGTGGCGAGAAATCAAGACAGGAACGATTAGCAAAAATGGAGAGAGAGAGAGAGAGAGATAAGTTGTTCAGAACACAGTTAAATCCAGCGGTGGAACACAGCATTGGCTCAAGTCTGCAAGTGAGACAAGTGATCAGGCATGGAGCATTTCACTTGCCCCGGCAGAATGTGTTTTCTTTCGATGCCACAAAGACCCGGTCGAAAGGCCCCGTTCCAGAGCACAATCTGCCTGAGCCAGATCTGCTCCGTTTAACTGATTAAGTGTATACACCCGGCGCCAATCGATCGGATTTGGACCGGCATAGCCACCAAGACCGAGTAGATCGAGTAGATTGCGTCGTGGGCCCCGATTGTACGGACTTGCATTGTGCTGATGCGTGAACTGACCCGATTGTGATAAGCTTAGGCCCCCGGCGAATTCCACGTAGCGATCCACATTGATTCGTTCATTTGTGGTCGTATTGAGCCAGATCATTTGGTACAGTTGAGAGCCGAGTAAAAGACACGTCCAAAAGCTGTAGAAGCTCGCATTGATAGCACAGAACAGTGTCCATGTGCTACACGTCAAGTAGGTGCTCAGATAAACGGCCCAATCTGGAAAAAAAGCAAATGTGTGGAGAAAAGACAGGGAAAATGAGATGGTGGATAGAGGACTATCATCAAACAAAAAATAGGCACAGTTTCATTATAGCATACTATGAAATAAAGCGACTCGTGACTTGTGAAATGATTCCGTGAATATTGGGAGGGGGGGAACAAAGTCCGCGAAACGTTTAGCAGATCACCCACATCGATCGATCAATTTTCACCGTCGTTTGACGTAGTGAATTGATACTTTGAACACATGTCACGCTGTGTAAGTACTCCCCATCGACATCTGAACTATCACCCTCTACCGCGACTGCGCAAATTTTGCCAGTCGATGCCAGCCCTTCATCTGAAATGGAGATTTCCCGGGAAATAAGCTATATCAAGAGGCATAAAGCCTCCGGTCCAGACGGGCTCTCTCCATCCGTTTTTAAGGATAGAGGTTTAGCATTGGTTTCGGAGTTAAAAAACTCCTGGGCTCATTGTGAGAGAGGAAAGAGGTTACAGCTGAATGGTGTGAATCGGTGATCATACCGATTTACAAGAAAGGTGACAGGTCCTGTTGTGAAAACCACAGAGGAATTAGTTTAATCAACATCGTCTCTAAACTTTCGCTGGTATCATACTCCGTCGATTGTCTGCCGGACGTGAACGGTGCACGCGTGAGAACCAGGCTGGATTTAGACCTGGTCGAGGTTGTATCGACCACATCTTCACTCTTCGCCAAACTCTGGCACTGCCTTTCTCTGAAAGGTTAATTTCAATATTACGATCCCTCTATACTCATAACCAAAGCCGAGTCCGAGCTTACGGCACTTTTTCGCCCGAGTTCACCCCGGAAAATGGTGCTAGACAGGGCTGCCCTCTCTCCTTTTCTACTTAACTTCGTTATAGATCTGATTATGGAAAGAGCCCTATTCTCGTGGGAAGATAGTGGCATTAATTCACTCCCAGTTGGCAAGCTGTCTAATCTCGAGTATGTAGACGACATCGTGCTGCTAAGTGAAGATCCAGACACGTTGTAAGCTTTTTTGGATTGTTTGAATGCTAGTGTAGCCATGTTCGGTATGCGTTTTGCACCTTCAAAGTGTAAAATGCACTGCCTGGGTCGGTCCAGCACCCAGCCTCACTCTAACTGGAGAAGTAATAGAGCGAGTAGATAAGTTTTGTTATTTGGGCAGCTATATCCCACCCGGTGTACGCATCACGGATGAAGTGTCAGCTCGCATAAAGAGGATTCGGTTGGCATTTGTCAACTTGAGACATCTGTGGCGCCGTCGCGACATCCGATTGTCTGTTAAGGGTCAAGTGTATGCTGCAGTAGTTCGGTCAGTTCTGCTATATGGAGCAGAAACTTGGCCATTACGAAAACAGGACAAAAATGGATTGTCGGTGTTTGAAAACCGCTGTCTACGCAGGATTGCACGAATCTGGTGGGCGGCCGGACGAGCAATGCTGAGGTCAGGCGAAAAGATTTAGGCAACCGCGGTCGTCCACCGGAATAAGTGCTCGACCTCCATAGACTACGTTGGTTGGGCATGTGTTACCATATAGGTTGCCACGATGACGCATGGTTGCCGAGGCAGTTAGTGGGTGGAATCTGGCCAAGGGTGGTCAAGCTAAGATCTGGCATGAGGGTATGAAAACCCTAACCAGGAGTCTGGATCACATAGGCCCTGTTGGGCTCCCTGGATGGAGACCTCGGGATGATGGTACTTGATGGTTAGACAGTGAATGATATATCTGGGTGTCGTAAACAGTGGCGTTCGTGCATCTTCTCAATTTCTATGTATCATTAGTTCTGTGAACTCCTCAATTTTCTCTTCGATCCTACGTTCAACCTTTCATGTCTTTCTTTTTATATTCATCCAAATGGGCAGCCGAAAGATAGCAACCAAAACCGGCCCACAATAGTGCATGGTTAATGATTGTACAAACTGAACTGAACTGAACTCCCCAGATTCTTGTAGTGATTACGTTTACGTTGTATATTGGATTTAAGTGAAGACTATGGGGCGGCCAGTTCAGCAGTCACATATGATTGTAAAAACAAAAAAGCCGTTGTGTCATACGCGGTAAACCTCGGGGACTTGAAGCGGACAATCAGGTTTTATCAGCGGAACGCGAAATAGAAAGACCAACACAGTTTAACAGCTGTGAGAAAGNAGCAATACAAGTCAACGGTTTTCTGGCCATAAAAGTGCACGAACAGTCCCAACCCCATTCGGTACTTCAACTCTATAGACAAGCGACCTAGGTTAACGGCATTCGATGGTGTTATTTCGCTCTGCACCTGCAGTTCCGTTGATATCTACATTGTTAGGATCGGTTGTTGACTGGTAAATAGATCATCAAAAATAACCGAATATGAATCGCTCAATCAGTGATAGAATCAATATCGAGTAGGCAACGGACATGTCTTCGATTGCAAAACGCCCCGTGACAGTAATTTATCTATCTGACATGAAAAACGCATTTAAGGTAACACGACATAATTACATTTTAAATTTCTGTCATAGTGCGCAGCAATGTCAAGCATGATAAATAAGCCTTTTCATACACAAAGACACACAATTCTCTGAAAAGCTTTCGTTTTGAGAAAATAATTAAACGCACATGAACCCATTGTTGCTTCTATGCTAGTGCTATTTATTCACAAGCACGTTTTATGCCTGACACCACAGGACCATACAAAATGCCCGCACCCCGCGATACTCACTATCGTATCCCCACACACCCATGTCGGTGGTTCGTTCCAGCATACACAAACCACTGCTCCTTTGAGTGAGCATAAGCAAAATGGAAGATGTGTCAAGATTGTTCCAGCCAACAGGTTTCCATCAAACAAGATCAACGGCTTTAAAGCTCTAATCATTATCTAGCAGAAAAAATTGATAAGAGCAAAGCAAAAATTCCATTGGAGGAAGGATTCTGGTAGGATGCAATTTGTTCAGCGTGAGTATGTCACGAACATTTAACTTGCTAAACTGTGAACTTTATCCCTTTGGTCAACTTATTTGCCCAATGAGGACAAAGATGAAGTTTGTATTGGCTCCGTCCCCCAGGTGAAACACGCAACCAGGGGCTATCGGACTTAGGTTAATTTATCTGTGAATCAAATTAGCAGGACAGAAATATGATCAGATAACCGGAGTTTGTGAAAATGGAAAACGTGGGATGGAACCAGACTGGCCAAATTGTAATAGACAGGCACATAGCACAGACACATCATGCGTGCGCAGAGATGGGAACAAATTGAGGCGCTGACACTTACTCGGTTGATCTGACACCGGTTGACAGTACGACACTTCAGCAAAGTGTACCCAGGCACCCAGTACGAACAGTGCACATGAACTGGACGTGAAGATCAAATAGAGCAGAAAACAACGATGATTGTCCACACCCACACAGTTGTACACCCAGGGACAATGATGATCGAATCGGGCCACGCAGCGATCACAGCTGGAACAATGCTTGGACCGGAGAGGTTTCTGGACCAGACAAGTGGTACAGAATCGTTCCAACGGATTAGCCAATACATTTGGATTGGATCCGACAGGTGTGGTTCCCGCAGACGCTGATCCCGGTTGCCCAGCTGAGGCGGAATCCAATTCATGCATTGCCTCATCGACCAGTTGGATGATAGCCAACTGGCGACTGTCTTTGGCCACAGCAGTCACATAGCCGGGATCGTTGTGCACGCATTGGATAAAAGTGACCCACAACCCGGTCACACAGAGAAGAAATGTGAAATGCAAAAACCAGTGCCCGGGAACCGAGGGAGCCACGTGGACCAAATAGGTGATGGTCAGTAGCACAGTGGTACTAGTGGCCAAACTGAACAGGAGAATGATCTGAAAGGCAAACCCCAGAACGGGACGAGTATGGATAACATGACAGAACAAAAGCGAGGGGTGAGGGATAGAACAAAGATAAAGCAATACGTGAAAGAAAAGAAGCACATGGACTGAATAATGTAGTGTCTGTGATCAGTGGATGTTACCCATGCTCACAAGAACGTTACAGATGTGACGGGTCATAAATTGGCTTGATAATATAGAGCCTTAAGAAAGCCTCAGTATGGTCGGGGTATCTTGGATTGTGGTTGATCACCCTTCCTTCGAACCCCACGAAACGCTCCTATACAACCAAGCGTCTCAAACAGCCTCTGGTAAGGAAGCCCTACTCATTGCCTTCTCGTGGCGGAGCTGTTTTACCACTAAAGTGAGAGGACGAAAAGCCAACATCCGGGGCTATAACCGTGTGGGTGAACCACTGACGGTTCACCTAAAGGAGTTGGCTAAAACTCCTGATTCCGAACCAACCAAGGGGCGGACGAACCACACTTATCCACACACCTTCCTGGTTGTGGCAATGATCACCGGCTCGATCGAGCATTGAGGTGTGTTGGGCACCTTGAACGTTTGACCCCGTCCAAAGGGCGTATGCTCCGATGAATTGGACATCGGTCTCCAATGGATAGCGGTTTTCACACACCACCCCGCTGTCTTGCGGATCAGGCTTTGGTCAGTCGAAGGCTCCGGTTGTGAATTCCCTAAAAAACTGCACCTATTTTGGCCTGGGCAAATTGGCAGTAGTCTGCTCAGATGAGATTTATGGAACTTTTTTCTTTTTTTTTAGAAAGGTTATTGCTATGTGATTTGTTCGGTACGCAGGCTGGTATCAGACGTGTGTGAAATAAATAAATAAGTTCCCGAAGCAAGATTTTTGCAATGATCGAGGAACGCAAATAGACTGTAGATTGTCGGCTCGTGTTGTTAAAAACTGATGACAAAATGGTTTCAGCTAATGCTCGAAAGAGATGTAAATATACGGATGATGAATTCAAAGGTCCCCAGGCACGATCAACTTGTTGGGTCAATCAGGGGGGGGGGAGTGGGAAGGGAGACGAAGTGCGTTTCTCGTGTGAGTGATCTGAGGGAAAACAAGAGTCGACCGTTGAGCGGTTAAACGAGGAGTGTGACACAACACAGACCCGCCACCCCGAAATCTTCGAGTGGGACCGAAATAGCAGAAAAGCAGAGACAAACAGGGAGACAGGGAGATGAAAGAATGAGGCAAACAAGCAAGCGTGAACAGATGTGCGAACAGGTCCACAATACATTTCTCCACGTTCGTCTACCAACAGATTCATTTATGTGGAAATTCGATTGGAGGATGATCGAATTTATGCATTTTAATCAGGCAGACCACACTTTCGGATGAATAGTTAACTTATCAGACGAGTGACTGTAGGAAATCCATTGAACACGATTGAAAAACAATGCTTAATCAAAAATTGTGATTTCCACAATACGGATTATTCATCGGTTTTTCTGTGGTGAAAGAGTCAAAAAAGTATGCCTCCCGGATCAAGCACTGTGCGTGAGATTGTTTTCGTGTGAAATGGAAAAGTGAGGTTTGGTTTTTCAGGTCTTGTCCGTAGGTAAATTATTTCCGATAATTGTGAAGGGAATTAACAGCAGATCGATGAGTTTTCGGTTTCATTTTTACCTTAAGAGATGAGCACTTGGAAACTCGAAGTTGGAATTTGGAAACCCGGTAGTTGTTCAGCGGTGGGATCTGATCGTCAGTTTTGTTAGCAGTGCAATGGAGCGCACATTAACCTTAGCAGTCAAGTACAGGACAGTTGAGATGACGTGCTGAGTGAATTACACACAGGTCTAACAAATTATCCAGAAATATGCTTATTTGGAACGCGTGCTTCCATAAACGGTGAGCGTGTGTGATGTTTTAAGACACTTTTAGTGATTAGATTGAGACAGACGATCAAGTCAACGACAAATATATCAACTCCCACGATCAAATTCTATGCGGCGCAATCGCTAATCGAAAAGCCAGTTCAAATGAAATACAGTAAATCTCCTGCTATGTCGCACCTCTCAGGAATTAGGAAAAGTGGGTAAATTCCATGAACTACGACATCGCAGGTTAGTCAGTAGTATATGCTATTAAGTAGTGTGAAAAATCAGTCGGGAGTTTTTTGACAAAATAAACCGGATCGATGAAAAGTACGTTAATCCTGTTATTGTTCCCAATGTTTGTAATTATATACTGCTTATTTATAAAGGGATTTAGATACACCGCCTCCGTCCCCTTTATGCGTCGAGGAAATTGAAATCTTTTATGATGCCCTCGGTACATTGAATCCGGTATTCAGCCCTTCTACAGTTTGAAGTGTCCAGTTATCCCGGAATTACTTAATTTTCTTCAGAGAAATTTTTTCTAACCTAATTATTGCATATTAATTCAAGATGATCCCCCATTCCTTTATAATGCTTGGCTCACCACAGAAATGGCAAGTGATTCGGCTACGGAGCTCTCAGTTGCACTTGGTTGGCTCAGCATCTGCAACATATTCTGATCGATAGGTGATTACAATTTCAAAACCAAGTGATACCGGCTTCGATTGTTAGCATCGGCGTGTCTTCCTCGCAAAGATTATGCAATCAATGAACACTGTCATATTCGCGTCACACTACGTGAAACGCCATTGGCTGGGTGCGACATTGCAGGTTTGCTGGACAATGGCCATCCCGTAAATCGGTCAACGACCGAGTGAGTAGCTATCAAGAACTGCGACACAATGACCGGGGGTGGGCGACACTGTATGGTCAGAAACTACGTCATTACGCACACGTTTGGTTTGGGTTTTCGAAAAAGTGGGAAGATATTGGAAAATGCGACTTCACAGGGGTGCGACACAGCAGGAGATTCACTGTATTTGGAACGGCGGAGTGACAAAATTCAACTCGTCACAATTTGTCTTTACCGGAATAAAAGCAACGAATGGCCACGAAGGTAAAAGCATTCAAGAGTAAAGCTAAAAAACAACCATGATCATACAACAAACACCTGGTGAACAGAGACCAAATCAACACCCAAGAGACAGGGGATGGAGTGGGACAGTTACTCACCTGAGACCGATGATCGGAGAATATGTTCAACAAACGGCGACAAAAGAACGCAAATGTATTGAACAGGAAGAATTTCACCGTATAACCCAACCAAATCGATCGAGACGAGGTGATTCGCATGTATTGAAGCGCGTAGGCCATATCGCAACAGAGCAAGAGAACCGAGAGTAACAGTAGAACTGGTGGAATGGATATGGTGACACGGAAACGCCATTTGGGCGAGTGGGGCAAATCGGACCAGCGCAGACGTGATAAACGATCGGACGAGGGGGAACGAGCACGTGCTTGAATTGCAGCCATTGTACGCACACGTTCAGTGAGCCACGGAACTTGACGTACCTGTGTGTATGAACAAATTGAAGAAGGTTAATGTGGTCGATAAACTGAAGACGAACAGCCTGAAAATAAAACCCTATTTTTTTTATTCCACTATATAGATATATATATATACTTCATAATAAGTAGCATATGCTTGACTTGACAAAATTTCCCTGGTAGCACACGATCAGNCACGATCAGTTTCACGGTTCTTGCCGCTCGTCAAGCATGCATATCCGGTAATCTTTTTTCAGTTCATTCATACACATGTAACCAGGAAATGTATTTTCGTCACAATAACCTTGTTTGCAACACCGGGTAATTTTTGGATAGACAGTTAGTAGCATCTGACCCACTCACAAAACATCGAATCATAGCATTGATTTTCCAATAGACTGGCTCTGAAAGAGCCAATGTTGCAAACAAGGTTATTGTGAAGAATATATATATAATATATAATGTATATATATATATATATGTATATGTGGTAGGAGTGGGTGTCTCGGATTGTGACTGGTCACCATTCCCTTACACCTCGCGAAATGATACACGGATCACACTCACTGCCTTTTTGTGGCGGATGTATTTTTCCACCAAAGTGGTAGGATTAAAGGCCAACATTCGAGGATATAACCAAGTTGGTGAACCATTGGCAGTTCACCTAGTGGAGTTGGCCAAAAACCCTGGTTCCAAACCAGCCAAGAAGAGGAGTACGAACCAAATCAATCTACACGTTCCTAGTTGTGGTAGTGGTCACTGGCTCGATCGGGCATCGAGGCGTATTAGGGACCCTTGAATATTTGACCCTAACCAAAGGGCATATGATCCAATGAACTGCGAACTCTGAGCTCCGTCCTATTGTCCTGCGTGTCTGGCTTTCTGGCCAAAGGTTTCGGATGGGACCCCGAGACTATCCCTCTTCTTCGGTTAGGGCAACTGAGAAGTAACATGCCCACAGAACCAATGAACACATTCTACAGAATTTTTGTCCATATGTTGTGGCACATTTCCCAGTTTTGTGTTATCGGTTACGTGTCGTCCGGGTCAATACTGGGGATGACCTATTGAGGTTTCATGTGGTTAACCATTGCGAGTCCTAATGCTTAGATTGAATGCGAGATAAAAATATAAGACTGGTCATGAGACTCTTCATAACTCCTCAGAAAGAAGCTAGTCTAAAAGACCACGACGCAAGTTTATTCACCATATCAGAGTACGCGGTGAAAATAATCAGAATCGGCACTTATGATCAACTTTATTCGAGAAAGATAAAAAAAAACGGAATGTAACAAACAATGATTTTATGCGACAAATAATCCTAATCGGAAAATATTTTGACATAAATCCCTACAGTTTGCAACGTGCTGTGAGTGATCAATCAATTGCACAAAATGAACAAAACATTTATTCATTTGGTGTCACTTCTTCTGAGAATTCATACCAGTTGTGTGAGAAACAGATCTCACTTGTTGATACCATGTTGTAAGTATCCAAATGTGAGCCACAAATGAGGAAATTTGACGCTTGATTTCCCGTGTCTGCTTCACGCTTGCTTGCGGTTAGACTTCGTCACAAATGATGCCCTAAAAGCCGACAACTTACAAAAGACCCCGTGAGATGAAAAAAACCAAGAGTGACCGTGGTTAACTGGATCTTGTTATTGTCATGATACGGTCGTCCCCGATTCAATTCCATCAGTGCTACACCCAGTTTGATCAATAATTTCTTTGGTTGCTATTCAGTTCCATACGGTGTTTCTCCTGTCGAGATTTCTAACTGGGCCAGTTCTGCTATATGGAGCAGAAACTTGGCCATTACGAAAACAAGATAAAGACAGACTGTCGGTGTTTGAACACCGCTGTCTACG